TTCTTTCAAGTATTCACCTTTACAAGTTAATGTTCAAGAGCGAAAATGTGGTTATGTTTGAAAGCTAGAACTGAAAGCGTCGTTTTCCATCGCCAAGCTTTCGTGCATTTGATATTGCCCAGAATCATTATAATAATTGAATTTTCCTCAGCGTCCTGTACAATGTATCAATCTGAAAACTGCAGTTTTAGGGACCCCTGCCGTTGAGCTTCCGGTAAAAGCAGTACTAAACCCAGCTAGAGCCCTGATCAACACAATCCATGTTACTTTTCTGCGTCCCGGCTGGGTGCAACCTCAAAAATGCCATTTTACTAGCGGTCCTGTTGTTACAGACTCAGGTTCACTTTTTTTGCAGCACAAGAATATTAATACCAAGCCTAAAGTCAACCGCCTCTTGCTCTCGATTCCTGTCAAAAAGGGCTAACGTTTTTACTCTGCGACTATTCCTTTTTATAGTTCTTCCCTCTTATGGAGCATGAGAGCTAGCTCAATCCTCAAACGTCGTTGAACACTGTTGCTGGGGCGTTTCACCACAAACGAAGAAGCAAAAGGTAGCAAGAAGCTCGTGAGGTGCTCGCAGTGCGCATGAACGGGTACCTGCGTAGCAAGTGCTCATCGGAGCAGCAGCTGCTGAACGAGCTGGCCAAGCTGCTGGGCGCCAAGGACGTGACGTCGCGAAAGATGGCGGACGTGCTGCGCGCGCTTACCTTCTTCTACACGTCGGCAGGTCGAGGCTCGCGTATCCCGCTGTCGCTGCTCAGCGGCTTGTGCACGCTGTTGCCTCAGCTCAAGGACAAGAAAGAAATCACTCTGCTCAAGGATGAACATCAACGCATCGCCCGCATCGCACTCTGCCTCCTGTCTCGGCTCATCGACCAGTTTGAGATCCAGAAGGAGATGACGACGGGATCCAATTTGAGCCAGGATCAGAGTGTAGATCCGGCAGAGCAGGTGCTGGCTAACTTCTTGTTGACTCTGGAGACGGCTGTGATGACACCGTCGGGGATGCTGCTACCAAGACAGCGTGCTACACTACGCGTGTACGCTCAGCTCTGTCAGATATTTCTCAAAAGAGAGCAGTTGGTGACTTATACTGCGGCACTGCTTCAACAGTCGCCAGTACTTACTTATGCTGAGAATCATGTGGATGCGAAGGGGAAACGTTTACCCCCTCCAGTGCCTGCGCAGTTTGGCGCAGTGGCAGGAGCTTGCCATGCTGTGCGCTTTAATACAGAGCCGGACGATCAAGTATTTGTAGCGAACAAGCTAGCTCAGCTTGCGTTTATGGTACCGGCGGGTACAGCGTCACGCCATGCGGCGAAAACGTTGCTGTCGCTTTTAACATCACCTGTGCTGAACGAAGGCCGACCTTCTAATGCGATAACTGTGGCTAAGGCGATTGAGTTGTATCTACTGAAAGCCCGACCCCGCACGCTGCTAGGTGGAGACTCTTTGACTTCTGTGTACCTGCTGCGTCTGTGCGGTCAAATGGCCCGCTTACCAGCTCATCACCAGCAACAGCAGGAAATCCCCGCAACAAATGACTCACAACACTTCAATATCACTTCAACACTGCTAGAAACATCGTCCGATATAGCTCCAGAGAAGGCGCATGATCGAAATTCTGCTCTTCAAGGCTTCCTCGTTTCACATGCACTTTCAATACAGCTTCAGGAGTATCTTGTGGACGTTATTCAAGCTGCTGTAGCCGATGATTCCAGCACAAAAGCAGGCGTGGTTCCCGCAGTGCTTCTGGTGGCAGTAGAGGAGACTTTACGAGGAACTTCGCCGGAGGATAGCTTTCGGCAACAACCTAATTGGGGATCGAAATGCATTTTTGAGCTAGTGGCGGCCGCGTTACTACCCCTGCTTCCAGCCCCACAAGACCCAGCTAGGCTTCTATGCAGTACTGTTACACTGCATCGTGTGTGTCGTGCTGTGCAGTTTGTAGCAGAGCGTTTGGATGCTGCCGTACTTCACTTTGGTGTAGCAACAGGGCAGAAGATGGAGATTCCGACCTATTTGAGCCAGCTTACGCTGCGCGTTCACTCGCTCACAGAACACAGCAATGCTTTTATAGCTTGTGAAGCTCTTCGTGGCTTTGTGTGGTTACTACCACGCTATAGCATCAATACCGAGCAGAATGGGAGCATTGAAAATCACTGGACAAGTATCTTTTGGCAGCTTGAAGCACTTCCGCTCGGTCGTGTCCAGCCGGAGCGTCGCGCTGCGATCGCTTGGACAATTTTCCGGCGCTGTGTGACCACGTTAAAATCATATGGATATGAAGTCGAGAAACCACTTTTATTGGGATGTCTTCGAGTCGTACTGGCCTGGTTTCGGGTGCGACCTTGTGTGTGGCACGCTGCTTTGTTGACTGCAATTTGGCACACTACTCTGCGAGAATGCCTTGTTGCACCCTTAGGCGAAGCCGTTTTTGCATCTATCAACGAGGTGCTTGATTACCAGTGCTCACCAACTGACAATGGCGCTACAGATAGTCTTATCGTCAAGCAAAGTACATTGCAGTTCCTCAGTAATCGCGAAGGATGCCTGAAACATGTTGTGCGACGTGAGGAATGGTGCCGCCCACTGATACTCCGTCTCACAAAGCAAGTCCTACTCGAAAACTCTACATCGCAGCGTCTGGGTTTCCGAGCCCTGTCACAGTTGGGTGATGAGGCAGATGCACAAGGATTAACTTCGCTCGCTCAACAAGCAAAAGCAATTTTGTCCTTCACGGAGAAGTTACCACGACAAGCTCAACGAAAGGGACTCACGACTGGCGATGAATTCCAGAACCAACCTTTTTCTATTCACGACGAGCTTCTACCTGGTGTTAAAGCTCAAGGCGGTGCACTTGATGACCCCTTCTCCGATTTCAGGGCACCTGACGGAGCTATAGCATCGGCAAACAAAGCGTTAGAGGACCCCTTCGCCGATCCTATAGAATGTGCAACAACATCTGATGTTTTCAATTGGAATAGTGCTACTAGTACTACGAGTAAAGTTACTGCTACAGTTTCGACTTCTATAACCGACCTCCAGATACCAGCAGACCATTCTTTCGGCGACAGCACTTGGTATAACCCAACAGCATTCAACGAAACTAAAACCGAAGCATTCGGAGAATCATCACAGTTCTCAGCCTGGGGAGACGAAAGCAATATTCAAAACATCCCCCCGCAGCGTACTATTCAAGAAACATTATTTGGGAATTTTACAGCGTCTGAAACTACATCGTTTGATGACTGGGGAGGAGGCGGCACCACCGAGCCACAGCAAGAAGGATTCATCGCAAACGAGGATTTTAGCGGAAGTTTT